TCATACCTGGACTCACTATTATTATGCCAGGTCAATTGTCTCTTTCATAACACCAGTCTGTTTCGCAATGACCACTTCCTGAAATATAACAGTGCGGGTTACCTCTGCTAGTTCGATGCACTGACATAGCCCAGTCGTGAGCTGCACTACTAGCAAGAGAGCCCATTGTGATGTACTCCCCAGTAGTATTATGCCACAGGTGCTCAATCAGCCCAGTATAGTTGATCATCGAAAGCTTTCTAGATAGATACTTCAATTCCAGTGTCAGGCGTAGACCAATAATCATCAGATGCAGTGTTTGTTCTCCGTTGATCTACACTCCCTACCAGCGTATTCAAGCCACTTATCTGTCTTGTTGGCGGCAGGTTAATTTTTCCGGCATTCCCGTTGATTCATGCTTTCCTCATGATATATCTTTCTGATATTGGGTATCCCTCAGGGCTTGGTTAGTATCATCACTCAACTACTAGCCTTTCAGCTTGAGCGTAGACTTAAGTACTAGGAGGTATGAGGTGTTGACTGACTAGTGTTATCCAGCAATCTCATTGGTCTAGTAGATCAATCCTTTGTCTGTATAATATTAGTTGATTGACCTATGTTATAGACATGATGCCATTGAAAGACACTCAATGATATACCTATATACTCAATGTATACCAACCACACTATACACTCCAACTATACCCTCATCTCTAAGACACTCCACAGCCAACATCAACATAGTAACATACCACCACCACCAACACATACCAAGTACTACATAGTAACAACCCTAATCTCCCCCTCCCCCCTCCCCACCCTCCAATAATTACTCCACCTCACCACCTCCTCCACACACCCTTCAACCACCCACCCCCACTTCCTCAAAAACCCCGGCGTCACCTCCCAACTCTCCTTACAATGCGGCTCTCCCCAAACAATCCACCCATTCGGAGCATTTCCCGTAACCTCACCATCGTCACCGTCATTCCCATCAACCTCAACCACCACCCTTGCCCCAATCCTCCCATTTACATCCTGCCCCTTCAAACCATTGAACAACTCCCACCCCTCCATAACATACTCCCCCACCAAATCCCTCACGAACTCCCCATGATCAAAGCACATTTCCCACTTGATCAGATTCTCGCGCATCCACGGCCACGGTACGAGATCTATCCACGAGTAGTGGGTGAGGGTTCGTTGGGAGGGTGTCGGGAAGAGGGATGCGGGGATAGGGGAGGGGTATGTGTTGGGAATGGTGGTGGCGTAGATGGGAAAGATGAGACCTTCGTGGATGAGGTGAATGGATGAGTTGGGGGTGCCGCCGGGCAGGAGGGCTGTGGAGTGGTGGTAGAGGAGGGTTTTGTTGGTGTACAGGGCGCGGAAGACGTTGTGGGTTATTAGGTGGAGGAGGTGGTGGTCGGGGGGGATACTTGGTGATGAGGAGGAGGTGGGTACGGAGGGTTCAGTGGCAGGGGGTGCTGTTTGTGATTGTGTTTTGGAGAGGTTGTGTGAGCCATGGTGTTTGGTTAGTGAGGTTGATGGGGATGGTGATGTCTCGTGTTCTGAGACTCGCCAGCGGTGGACGCTGTATGGACGGGTAGGTTGGTCCTTGTGTTTCTGGAGGTTGTTTTTGAGGCGTAGACCTGAAGGGCATTTGTTTAGTTTGATGGATTTTGTGTTTTGATTGAGGGATACTCACGACGTGCTCGCTGGTTTACTCGGTTCTGGAGCTTCTTGCGCTGCCTTTTCTCGTCTGCGGGTGTAGATGACGGCATCGTCGAGATAGGTAAATTTGTCAGCTGGGGAGGGATTTTTCCAACATTCTAAGAAGTCTGTAGATTCTCCTGGATCTTCTATTCTTCGTATATCTCACGAACAGACTAGATCCAAAATGGCAATAACGGTCAGCCATGAAGTCAGAAGGAAGATGAAAGCCAGATGATGACCCCGTCGAGCTAACCTGAATAGGCAATAATGTCAGCCATTACTTCTGCCTGGATTGTTATAGATTTCTCTCTTTCTGCATCATTGTCAACCTGCAGAAAAAACAATATAAACATGCTGCTGTTTCTACCCAGAATGCAGTCTCTTCATCAAACATTCATTGCACCCTCATCTTCTCATATCATCCAAAAATGTCTTACTCTGCCGTCCACGCCACACCCAAGGGCCCCGGTGATGCCCGACCCACAGCCCTTCAAATCGTCCAAGATAACAACATGCAAAACCAACTCAAAGGCAAAGTCGCCGTCGTGACGGGCGTCTCCTCCGGCCTAGGAGTCGAGACTGTCCGCGCCCTCGCTGCCACCGGCGCAACGCTGTACCTGACTGCCCGCGACCTGAGCAAAGCGCGCACAGCCCTAGGCGACATCTTCCAGCCGGAGACCATGGAGCTGGTGCAGATGGACCAAGCATCGCTAGCTAGCGTGCGACAGGCCGCAAAGCTCATCCTGTCCAAGACAAACAAAGTGAACATCCTCATCGGCAACGCGGGGGTCATGGCTGTGCCGGACCTCCAGCTCACAGAGGATGGATACGAGATGCAGTTCGCAACGAATCACCTCGCCCACTTCCTGCTGTTCAATCTGCTCAAGCCGGCCCTGCTGGCGGGAAGTACTCCCGAGTTTCATTCACGGGTAGTTTTCGTCTCGAGTTCAGGACATCGCGTGCATGGGATCAACGAAGCGGATAATTATCATTTCCAGAAGGGGGGATATGATCCGTTGGTTGCGTACGGACAGTCCAAGACGGCCAATATCTATACGGCGAGTGAAATCGAGCGGCGGTATGGAGGGCAGGGGCTGCATGGGTTGAGTTTGCATCCTGGGATTATTGCTACTGGCTTGGGGAGGTATCTTTCGGAGGAGCAGATTCAGGCGTTGTTGACTGATGAGACGGTGGGTAGGGTTGCGAAGAGTACGGAGCAGGGTGCGGCGACTACGCTGTGGGCTGCTGTGGGGAGAGAGTGGGAGGGTAAGGGGGGGAAGTATCTGGCTGATTGTGCAGAGGCAGAGGATCGAGAGTATGATGGGCATGTTGGAAGGTCGATTGTGAGTTATACGTATTGGCCGGAGGGAGAGGAGCGGTTGTGGAGAGATTCTTTGGAGATGGTGGGATTGCATGATTAGATGTGTTTATTTTTGCAGTTATTGTGTTGTTATTTCAGTTGATCATAATTATCAATAGCTAGAATTGCAGTCGATAAGTCACTCCACTTTTTCAATCTTCACACTTATGATCGAATATATCTTATACGAGATGATCTAATCATCTGACAGTCTCCCGACCCTAATCAAGAAACGGCCCCCAAACACAGTCAGCTCACCCCATTCCTCTACTAGTAAATACTACTAGTATATTTAGCCACACGCTAATCATCCTTCGACCATCAGGCTACAGCCTCATCATGTCAGAGTCAGCGAATGTACATAAAGCTGTCTGACTTCCTGCTTTTCTCTTTCCCCCTCATGCATCCTACACCTACTCTACTCTCACTACCACAGAGACTCACCATGACGAACATGAAGCCCATTACCATCTGGATAACCCGTATGTTCTACCCACCAAATATTATCTACTATCCTCATATACTAACAATATTCTTCTTTAATAATGTATAGCTTCCGGTCCCAACCCATGGAAGGTCAAACCCCCACACCACCACACACACACACGCCATCCACAAACTAACAATCAACTAGGTCATCGTCATCCTCGAAGAACTCAACATCCCCTACAAAATCAACTCCTTCGGCTTCGAAGACGTCAAGAAACCCCCATTCATCAACATTAACCCCAATGGCCGTGTACCGGGTATATCCATCCATCCATCATCCCCTCACTATTACCCCACACACTATATCCCCCTCTCCATCACCAATGCCGAAAACAACAGAACACCACAATAGTATAAACATAACTGACCAAAGAACTAATAAAAATAATATAGCAATCCAAGACCCCAACACTCCCACTCCCGATAATCAACCCTTCACCCTCTGGGAATCCGGCGCCATAATCCAATACCTAATCGACCTCTACGACCCGACCCACAAACTCTCCTTCCCACCAACCAACATCCCCGAGAGACATCTTCTGAACCAATATCTCCAGTTCCAAATGAGTGGACAAGGACCGTATTATGGGCAATGTGGATGGTACAACCCCTCCCCTCTCCCACCTTACCCTATCCCTGCAACACACAATCCTAATAAATAATTTCTTGGATAATGTATAGGTTCTCCGTCCTCTCCCCCGAAAAACTCCCCACCGCAATAACCCGCTACCAGACCGAAGTGCACAGAGTCCTATCGGTGCTCAACACCATCCTTGTGGGGAAAACGTGGCTAGTTGGGGAAAAATGCACGTACGCGGACTTGGCTTTCCTGCCGTGGAATTGTCAGTTGGGGATGTTGATTCCGTCTGATGATGATGACGATCAGGATATTCTGGGCCCGTATCCGTGGGTCAAGGCGTGGCAGGAACGGATGGAGGCGAGGGAGTCGTGGAAGAGGGCGATGGTGTTGAGGGAGGAGTTGATGGCGGAGCAGGGGTTGGGGGTAAATGGGATGCCGGTGGGGGTGAGGGATATTGGGGAGTATGAGGAGCTTATGAGGAGCAGGGAAGAGGGGGAGATGATGATGAAGAAGGGGGAAAGGGTGGATGAGGAGGAGGGGGTGTTGGGGTGTGTTGGTGTTGGGGGTCAGAGTATGAGGGGTGCTCAGGAACAAGGGAAACAGGGTGAGGAAGAGGAGGAGAGGTGGGATGAGCAGACAGGGGTGATGGGGTGTGTTGGCTTTGGAAGTATAGGGAAATATCATCAGGAGAAGGAAGCGAGACAGGAAGAGAAAGAGAAAGAGGAAGACGACAGATGGGATGAAGACATGGGAGTGCCGGGATGCATAGGGGTGGGGAACCCAGGAGTATATCAGACGAAACCATCGAAACAAGAGGGAAAGAAAGACGAAAGATGGGACGAGGAGACCGGAGTGCTAGGATGTTCTAAACTCGGTGTCTAAGTCTACAATCATATCATGCCAGTATATTCAGACTCCTGGTATAATTATCACTTTTATCTAACATGGTATCTACATATGCAAATCCTAGCACACAAACCACACCACTAACCTCAAGTCACCTACTTCTTCCTCGACGGCCGAGCATTCTTCTCGCGTCTCTTCTGCTTCAAGTTCCTAGCTAACCGGATATCATCGGTATTCTTAAGCTCACTCTTACCACCCGCTGCGGCCCCTCCAAACTTGCCCAACTGGCGCTCCTTCGCCGCCTCGTTCTTCTTCTTCATCTTATCATAATCTCCACGGAGCGGATCTGCCCGCTTCGGCGCCTGCTCCTTGTTATGCTTGAAGCGTCTACCACCGCGGTAATGGTTAAGATCCGCCCCAAGACCCGGTGTCTCAGCCTCACCGACACGCGGCAGACGAGTGAGTCGCTTGCCCTTCTTCCACGCGTCGAAGCGTCCACTGCGGAAGCTAGCGGCGATCTTGGCACCACTCTCACCACGCACCAGACGGGTACCCTTCGATCCGTCCTCGTCGTTCTGTCGCGACACATACTTCTTGTGACGCTTGTCCCAGCGCATCATGGTGCGAGGCTCGCCGAACCCGCGGCTGCCTTCGTCGCCGAGCAGATCCATGGCTGCGTCGCGGGATGCTTGTGCGAAGTTGGCGTTAGTACCGGAGTGCACGCCGTACGCGCGGTCTTCGGCCATGTTGGTGTTGTTAGGGGTGTAGGACATGAAGTATTCGGGGTTCTGGAAGGAGGTAGCGCTGGCTTCTTTCTTGGCCTTTTTGTTGCTGGACTGGTTGTAGGAGGAGAAGGTGACTTCGAGGTCGGTTTCCGAGGCAAGTGACATGTTGTCGGCAGCACCTTCGCCGGCTTCGTCTTCATCGGAGAAGGCACCGTCAGCGTCCTTGGCATCGGCGTCTCCGGACTTGGTGGGTACATCGTCGTCGTCGTCGAATTCTGATTTCGCTTCCTGGGCGCGCTTCTTCTTCGAGTCGAGTGTGGTACGGACACGCTTGATTGTGTGGAGCGCCTCCTCGTTCTCGGGCTTGCCGCTGCGGCGGTTGTTCACTTCGAAGATGGTCTCGTTGGGCCGGTAGCCTCCGATACGGGCCAGCATCTTCTCGCGCTCGGCTTCGAGTTGACTGGTCTCGTCGTTGAACAGAGGGTGCAGGGCGGTCCAGTTATCGGATGAGACCACCTCTTTCGAGCGCTTGGCACTTTCCAGTGATGCTGCATTACGCGTGCGCAAGTAGAGCTTTTCACCCTTGCTGGCGACCGAACGCTGCGCAGCAATGTCCACCGTATCATCCAAGACCTTGGTCACCCACTCGCAGCTCTGAGACAGGCCGTCGCGGGGAAATCCTCCCACAACCACATCCTCGGCGAAATTGACACTTTCGCCATGCTCCCGACCGAGGACCAGTCGCCGGCCGAGGAACAGCTGCAGATCGAGCAGGTAGGGGGCATCGGAATCACGGACCAGACTGTAACTCCAACCGGTGCGGCCAGCACGCGCGGTACGACCGACACGGTGGACGAAGATCTTGGCTTGCGAGGGAAAGTCGTAGTTGATGACATTAGCCAGAATGGGAATATCGATACCTCTGGCTGCAACGTCAGTGACGACGAGGATGTTCGAAATGCCGGTACGGAAGTTGTGCACTTGGATTTTACGAGCCGTCTGATCGAGGGAACCGTAAGCGTAGGAAGTAGCGAATCCTGCCTCTTTCAGCAGGGAATACAGGTAGTCGACATGGTGCTTGGTCGCGGCGAAGATAATCGTCGAATGCTTCGTAGGCGACTCTTTAAAGTTGATTCCTTTGTCGTCCGATCGCTTCCGCTTCTTCGAAAACCTCCCGCCCTTTCCACTAGCGTTCTCTTCCTTCATGCGCTGCGCGGCCTCCGTCGGGCCCGTGGGCATCTTAATCACATTGTGGAGGATATACATCAGGGCACCCTCCTTGTCACTGGACTTGACAGAGAAGAACGCGTTCTGCAAATCAGGCGAGATCTTGCTCTCAGTATCCAGACGAACAAGCGTAGGCTCCTGCAGACCAGCGCGCGCGAATTCCACCAGGGACTTGGGCAGGGTAGCCGAGAAGAGCAGGGTCTGACGAGTAGACGGCAAGCCGTGAAGAATCTCAGTCAATTGAGCAGCGAAACCCATTTCGAACAGGCGATCGGCCTCATCGAACACAACGTAGCGAATACTCGACAGATCAAGGTGCATTTCGACCTTCAAGTGCAGAAACCGACCGGGCGTCGCAATCACGATATCGGGGTTACCAGCCATCATCGAGAACTGTTCCTCCAGACTGTCACCACCAACCAACAACACCGACTTGAGATCCGTGCCCTTCCCCAGCTCCTTCACGACCTTCAGCGTCTGCAGCGCCAACTCACGCGACGGCGACAAGATCAACCCACGAGCTCCAACCTGGGTGCTATGGCTCTTCAACTTCTGAATCATGGGAATGACAAACGCAGCAGTCTTTCCCGAACCCGTGCGCGCCATACCCACGACATCCTGATCCTCCATAATCACCGGAATCGTCTTGCGCTGAATAGGCGTCGGCACCGAGAAACCCTTCCTCGTAATAGCCTTCAACAAGTTCGCATTCAATCCCATAGCCTGGAAACCACCACCCTTCTTCACCGTGCGACCCTTCAGATTCGACGCCTTCCGGTTCGCCGACGCCTGCGTCTCCGCGATAAACGCCTCGTCGTCTTCATCGTCGTCGTCATCGCCGCCGCCGCCGCCGTTCAGAAAATCGAGCTGCTCGGGCGCCGCCGCCTTCGGTTGGCGCTTGGGTTGCTTCGCGGGGGCCTCGTTGTCGGAGTCGCTGTCATTTTGAAACAGCGCATTGGTGATGTCAAATTCATTCTCCGACATAGCCGGAGAAGCGGCTCGACCAGGCATTTTGAAGTAGTGGTCCGGTCAGCCTGGATGGAGTATTGGAACCTAATCGTGTGTATGCACTACTACTTATCGGCGAGACTTTTTTTGAGAATTCCGCCGGGCGGTGAGGATCGTCGCATCAACGTTGTGCCGGAGCAAACAGATCAATAGAGACAAACAGAGCAAACATATTCTCTCCCCGCGACGCGTCGGACACGTCCCGATGCGGTAAAATGCATTATTGCGTTCCTGTGAATCAATCTTCACTTGATATACCCAGTTCTCTATTCACTTACCACTTTCAGAAGCACACATAGACACCATGGGTGAGTACATCGTACCTATACACTATATCCCTCCTGCCTATACTATACTACTTTCCCTCACTACCCACCCTCCATACCATCCTCCCCTCACTGCGTCCACATATCTCAACTAACCACCCCCCTCCAGACGGCGGCTACAACAATTACAGCAGCACCTACAGCGGCGGAGGCGGAGGTGGCGGCTTCATGCCTGGCGAGATGAACAACAGCCCATCCGGAGGAAAGGTACATTGCCCCCCTTCCTCCAAACTACCTCATCCACCCCATCCCATACTAAATGATGAAAATAAAAATCCCAGTCCGACTACGCCAACCAGACCCTCCGCCCGATAACCATCAAACAAGCACTCGACGCAGTCCAACCATACCCCGAAGCGCCGTACCAGATCGACTCAGCCGAAATCTCCAGTATCTGCTTCATCGGCCAAGTGCGCAACATCAGCTCTCAAAGCACAAACGTCACATACAAGATCGACGACGGCACAGGCGAGATCGAGGCGAAGCAATGGATCGACTCCATGACAGCCGACACTACGGACACGGACGACGCCGCCAATCCCAAAGCTGCCCGCGGAAGGGACGGGAAAGTAGAGTTGAATGGCTACGCGAAGGTGTTTGGGAAGTTGAAGTCGTTTGGGAATAAGCGGTTTGTGGGTGCGCATTGCGTGCGGCCGGTTCAGAATCTGGATGAGGTGCATTGTCATCTTCTTGAGGCGAGTGCTGTGCATTTGTTCTTTACGAGGGGGGCGCCGGGTGCGGGTGCTGGTGCTGGTGGTGGGGGTGTGAAGGGGGATGCGGCGATGGGGGGTACGGGAGATGAGTATGGTGCTGGGGCTGGTGGTGTAGGGAAGAATCTGCCTCCGATGAGTCCTGTCGCGAAGAGAGTGTATCAATTGTTGAGGACGGAGCCGCAGAGTAATGAGGGATTGCATGCGCAGTTGATTGCGGCGAAGCTGAGTTTGCCCATGCCGGATGTGGCCAGGGCTGGGGATGAGTTGCTCACTGCGGGTGTGATCTTTTCGACGGTGGATGAGCAGACGTGGGCGATTTTGGAGTTTTAAGTTAATGGTTTTCTTTCTTCTTGTGTGGGTGGGTGAAAATAATTTGATATGATTATGGCATTTATTATTGCATGAATTTTGAGGATTGTTACTACTTACGTAGGGTTATTATTATTATGGCATCATCTTGTACATTCAACTCCACTACTTCATATCATAATACATCACATCGTCATCGCATACCGGTAGTATATATCAAGTCATCGCATTCCGCCGCAGCGCATCCTCCACCGAGCGATGCCAATTCGTCTGCGTCAAGAAGAACGCCTCAATGATCGAGACCAACAACAACGCCAACGCAACGCCAGACCACAATCCAAACAAGCCCCAATTCAATCCGAACGTCGTGCCGAAACTAATCGGCATGGCAATGGCATAGTAGCAGAACAGCTGGACGTAGCCGCCGATTTCCTGACGACCGATACCGCGCAGGATACCATTGCAGTTGGCAGCCAATGCATCGAACAACTGGAATGCTGCGCACAGAGGCAGGACCTGGGCGACGAGTTCAATTACCTCCTCGTCTGAGGTGAACAGGTAGGGGATGTAGTAGCGCAGGGAAGAGAGCAGGAGCATGTTCAGCAGCCCGACGATGACGGCGCCGACCATGGATACCTTGGCGGATAGCTTCGCAGCATCGACGAGCGTCGCGCCGATGAGGTTGGCGACGCGGGTGCTACCGGAGATGGAGACGGGGAAGGGAATTTGGAAGGTAATGCTGGAGATGGTGGACAGAACGGATTGGGCGGCCAAAGGGGTGGTGCCGAGATACGATGACGCCAGGGTCAGAACTTCAAAGGCGAGACATTCGGCTTCGACCATGAGGAGCCCGGGAAGGGCGAGCTTGATCATGGGGCCCCAATTGCGTAGGGCGCGGGTGGTGACGCCGTTCCAGCATTCGGAGCCGTCGATGAAGTACACGTACAGGAAGAGGAAGAGAGGCATCAGGTTGTCTGTGATGGCTACGGCAATGGGAGCTCCGATGAAGCCCCAGCCGAACTGCCACACGAATACGTAGTTCATCACTGCATTCAATGGGGCACAGATGAGAAGCACATAGAGCGATGCAGAGAAAAGTCCCTGCGCCTGCACGAACCGCTTGCCACTTTCGAAGCAAGCGTACCCCGGAGCACCCAGCGCAACCACCTTCAGGTACAAGCCGGCCAGCATGGCGACCTCTTTTTCCGGCACGATCCGGATGAGAATCCGGTCGGCGAAGAACCATAGCACGATAATAGGGATGGAGATCGCCCAGAGGAAGAAGACCATCTTTTGCATCTGCAGACCTACCAGCTTCTTCCTGCCGGAGCCATACGCCTGCGCACACAGGGTATCCAAACTCGTCGCCAGACCTTGATAAACTGTAACACAGTCAATCAGTATCGAAATTAAGACACGCCCAGGGAATTGGAACATACCAGCATAACCCGTAATACTCGCACTCATACTAGCCAAACTAACAGCCCCAAGCTCTTTCTTTCCCAGATGCCCGAGCGTGAAAATACTCGCGACAGTCAACGAATACTGCAACAGAAAGGTAACCACCAAGGGCGCCGCATTCTTCCCGATGACCTGAGCTTCCCGTTTCCACGTCGTTTGAATCAATCCAGCGGTAACCGCCTCCTCCCACTTCCGATCAATCTCGTCCTGATCTTCCACCGTCTCATACTGCGATCCACGACGCTGCCCACCCAGCAACGCAGCCGTCTCCGTCGATTCCGCGGCCTCTCCCCGTCTCATGCGCCCACCCTTCTGCACACCCGGCTCAATGCAACGATTATCAGTGAGCAGATTCCGCTCATCCTCAATTGCCCGTTCCCGTTCCCGCCGCGTCAACCCCTCGCTATCCGGCCGATGCGGCACAACCGTCGCATGCGAGACAGTCGTGAAGAACCCGGGCCGCTGGTACGACCCAGCTAGCGAATGGGGATTCGTGCCGGGTTGGCTGTTGATGGCGCGGATGGTGGAGGTCTCGGAGGCTTCATCGTCAGTGGTGAGCATGGACCCTTCGTCGTCGGCGTAGTCTTCAATGTCGCGGGCAATGGCGGTGCGAGCAAGCGGCGAGCTGGATCTATACCGGCTGTGAAACTGCTCGTCTGTGATCCCGCGTATGCTGTTCCGGCGGGCCATGGTGCGGAAATGGGTTCCACGGGGGAAGGAAGGTTGGTTGGTCTGCTGCTGGTGTGTATCACTGCAGTTGCAGGCATCCGTGCAATTGCACGGGAAGGACAGGGGGTGTGTATGTTGTGTGTGTGAGAGGAATTGAATCCGCAGAAATGGGAAACAGCAGGAATTAATAGCAGGATTTAGTTAGACCAGCAGGGAGAGAGGTTTTGTATGGCAGATGCGCAGGGATCCGGTAATCGCATTACGCAAGGAAGAAAAGCGCAGATTTTGCCGCTCAGACCATGATGATCCACTCACTGTCTGGAGATTCTACCAATTGAGTGAGTGAGTCATGGGTTGGTGTACTAATTCTCCAAGTTTTAACCGGATTGGGATTGCGCTAGTGAGGATGATAGCGATACAAAATACGAAGTATAAGTTCGTATGGCTATGTCTATACACACCACTGAGATGATAATATCCCGGGAGAAGAAAAGAAGCAAGTACTAGGAATGAACAAGTATTGCAGTGATAGACCCCCGCAATTGAACGGACCCCACGGTGGATGAAAGATGCCAGGAATGCAGTACGTACCAGTATTAGTTACATACGGCGGTAAAGATAGCCCCTCGACCAATGATAAGACGCTATAACAATCCCAAACGAGCTGGTCCAGCCGAGACTTGAATCGCGGTGGATCAACAACCAGACAAGCTGTGATGATCCATATCCACACAAGCTGTCTATGGCAGATAGCAGATTGACAATGATATAGATCTTATATCTACAATTGATAGACTATAGCCCTATTTACGGCGTGTAATCCCATTAGCAAATGTATAGAAAAGATCACGGGATCAACAAAAATGACATCATGTGGACACCGCATCACGTGTCTCCACATAGACCCTGTGCTCGTGCTTTATGTAGGCACATTCATATAAGACATACACCGATATAGCATTACTACTAGCTACTACTCCTACTAGGCTACTTCTAACTAAATTTATCCCATAAGCCTCACCGTAGCTTTTTCACATACTGAACACCACACACACACACACACACCTTAATTAATATACAACAACAAGAAGAACACCACCATCACCACCACCATGTCAACCACAACCCAACAACACCACCAAGAATCCCAAGAATCCCAAGAACAAGAATACACCCACACCCTCCCCAAACCCCCCTACAACCCAATAATAAACCCCTCCAACACGCGCCCAATCCTCGCAGACGAGTAAGCTCTCAACCCTCCCTTAACCCTCTTCTTCCTCCCATCCCCCTCTTCCCCCACATCATTGCTTCGCAATACTAACAAGGAAAAATACCAGACAAATCTCCCTAAAATCACACATCTTCCTAACCCGCCCCTACATCTCCACGCTACTATTCGAAAACGCCACTTCGGATGCGCGCGACCACTGCGCCAACGAGCGGACCTTTCTCTCCTGGCTGCGTCTCTCAATGTACCTAGCGATCGTGGCCATCGCCATCATAATCAGTTTTCATTTCCAGACGCCGCCGACGGGGCTGGAGCGGCGGATGGCGTTACCACTAGGAATCGTCTTCTGGGTGTTGAGTATTGCGTGTCTGGTGAACGGGTTTGCGAATTATGTGCGCACGGTGAAGAAGTATAGTCGCAAGGCGGCGCTCGTGCAGAGTGGGTGGAAGACGCAGGTGACGTTTACGGTGGTTGGGACGGTGATTTTGGGGAGTTGTGTGTTGTTTTTGGCTACGGATGCTAGTACGAATTGATTTTGATTGAGCATGTTTTTTGTTTTTTTTGGGGTTGGTTGGGAGGTGTTGTTGGTAGTGGGATATGATTATAAACAAAGCTAAATGGACACTACACTCGATATAGTATGTATGGAATAGGGCCATCAAACGCTGCAGGGAATCATGTCAGGGGGATATATGTATGGTAACCGTGTACAGGCTGCAGATGCAGAAAGATCACAACTTTATCGTCCATCGTCTTCGCCTCATTTACATCCGCCGGATCTGCTGCTCGTTCTTGTATCCCTCTAGCGACGCTGAGCCCAGGTGGCTCCACCATTCGAATAGCATCGAGTTGCAGATCAGCTTGAACCACGGCGTGAACTTCAGTCCTGGTTGCTCGAACATCTGCTTCAGCTCGTCCGCCGACACATACCGCGTGTCGCGCACTTCGTTGGGGTTCACGTTCAAGTCGACGTCCGCCTGGATGAACAGAATGTAGTCAACTAGGTATGGTTAGCCACCTGTCCAAATGCTCATCACTGGTATCGACATACTCTCGTGCTCTCCCCACTTGCCATCACTGGGCGCCTTGTAGTGGATGCGGGTGAAGAACTCGAACTTGTCCAGCGGCACCTGCTCTGGCTTGATACCCAGCTCGTGTTCCAGCTTGCGCTGCGCCGCGCGCTTCACACCCAGCACGGCCGCATCGAGCTGCGAGCCCGTCTCTCCGGGGATGCCCAGGGGGTGGGAGCAGCAGGTGTTCGTCCACATGTCGGGGAAGGTGATCTTCTCGGTCGCACGTTGTTGAAGCAGCAGGCGCTTGTTAGAGTCGAAGAGGAAAACGGAGAAGGCACGGTGGAGGAGGCCGCGATCAATGTTGGTCATCAAGTGGCCTGTGAAGTCGCGCCATCAGCATGGACTTTCTTTCAATACTGGGTGATGATGGATGAACTTACAGGCCTTCTTGCTGGCACTGCCAATCGGCTTGTCATCGTCATCCAGCACAATGCACACCTCTTCCATCAGGCGGACCTGTTCCTCATCGTAACCGGCAAGCTCGTCGCCCGGGGCGGAAGCATTGCTTGTCGCAGTGGGGAGCACCTCCCGCGCAAGAGAAGTGTCAACCTCGGGGAAGAGAGTCGCGACGTTCTCAGCCGTGATTCTCGGCGGCTCGGTGACGGTAGTGGTGGTACTCATCCTGATGGTTTGGCTGGAATATGGAAGAAATCGACTAGGCCTCCGGTGCTGTACAGAATGGGGCGAAAAGAGTGAAATCTTGGGGAGGGAGAACGACCCCCTCGATGTGGGGAGAACAGAGCGGGCGCCAGGGCGGTGGCAGAAAACGCATCGGGCGGCGCGGTTCATGATTTCCTTCTTGCAATTGGGTCATTCACGGCCCTATTGCTTATATTGTTCTTGTGCAGGCTACGGACAAACTGTTCTGGCTGGCGGCATAATTGCTTCGGAAAACAGGATACTCCGGCGCTCCCTCACTGGTATGTTGGAGCAGAATGCCAATCATGCGCTCAATGTCGGCCGAATACCCTGCCGTGGCATCTCCCTTTCCCTGGCCAGGTCTGCAAGCAGCTGGGTTGAACTTCCGTCAGTACAGAGGCTAGAAAAGCAACCGCCCGCTGGCTATTCGCATCAGTCCAAAGCAGATCGAGGTGGACAGACAATGCCTGACCATGCCTGTTCATCCTGTCAAGACCAAACTTGATGGGGCTGACAGAGCTTCCGCGCTGTATGCCTGCCAACTATTACCAACAACTTTCCGTTGAGGCGCATTGCAGACATGTTCTTCAGTCCGGCAGTTTCAGGCCTGCAGAGTCGGCATAGCATAGCCTCTTGCCCACGCATACAGCTGCAGAACTTGGTGGGACATGGCCAGCCGCTCAACAGCGTCTACCAACCCGGTTAATTATTTTACTGACTCGGCCCCAATTGATCGGGGTGTCTCATTCCGTCGGGTCCTAGTTTCCCTGCTTATTGCTGGAGCCTGACACAACCTACCACTGGGGTCGAAAGCCGCGCAACAAGCACACTCGTAGTGCTAGACCCTACCGACAGTGCAAACGGACTGTCTAGTGTCTTGGTATCCAGATGGAAGTTGTCCGACAAGACAGCTCTTGTCGCTTAATCTTCATTGCTCTCTTCGGATCCGTCGGACCGGACGTCCGATTAGTAGGCCGTAAACACTTTCGTCGCTAAACAACCAGCAAGGGCCAATAAGCGTCCAATGCACAAGGCGTCAGGATTGGTCCAGGCGTTAATCCCATCGTAGCCCCCCTTCGTAGTAGTTGACTAGGCCGTGATTAATATGAGGATGACTCGTTAGTGTATTGCCCCTTGATTTAGCAGATTCGTTGGACCTGCTCCCGTGTCGGAGTTTGGCACGAAGCTATTCAGTACTGGGCGGAGTTAATTTCCACTCGCGCGCTTAGTTTCTGGTATCGAGAAAAATGGCGCCATTCATGATTCCCCGCCTTCAGCGACGGTCACTCCGACCACTAACTCAACCATTCTATGGCTGCAATGCCGGAAAAATGGCCGCGTCAACCCAGATTATCAGGGAGAACTCGTCACACGTCACACAAAGAACGTCTGAACTTCTCTCAAAGCAGCAAAAGTCGCAAGTTATAAACCAACAGTGCAGTCGATCAAACATTCGAAGGGTCAAGGTATCCGTGCCGTGCGCTTGGCAGGATCAGTCCGTGTCGCGCTTGTTTGAACCTAAACCAGCTTGTTAGGGGTCTGGATTCTTCCATCCGATAAATCGAACCATAGCCGGTCGCAGAACTATCGGATGGGTGATGATATACGGAGTCCTGGCTCCACTCCCACTTAGATTTGGAGCCATTGTGCGCAGATAAAAGTCACTCGCGCCGCGGGGATCACCGCGAAAGAGGAAGGACTCTCAGAGCATGTTCCAACTTCCGTGCCTTCAGTTAGTCCCGATGGGTCCGCTAGGAAACCTTCCGACTTCCCCATAGTCCTCCAACCCAGAACGGTAATGGTTATCTCGATGGCGCACGACGATAGGTAGGCCTTGCTGACAACTCCCGCGGACGTATGGAGCATTCCTATTATCGTGTGTCTCTGGTCTTTCTTTGTGCTCAAGGGACCCGTTCCTCGCGCCGCTCCTTCATCGTTAAGTGGCCCGTCAACCCACTTATCCTGCCCCCCATGTCCGATTCCGTTCCGTGTGGACTGGATTTTCGGCGTGTATTAAGTTTGTTAGGGCAATTAACGCAGCACTTGGCTCGTTCCTGGTGTGTCTAGCTGGTATAAGCTTCCGCGCTGCACCTTGTTAACGAGTCGTGCAAGACCGGAACATGTCCATGCTCCTCCGCTTCGTACTTTTTCCCCGACTAATGCCTAGCACGGCGATAATATTCGTCGATACTGACGCGCCATTGGGTGGTCCTTCATAGATAGTGAGATGGCATAGGATTGCGTGAATCAATAATGGAACAGCCGGCCTAGTAGCGCCTCTTCCGGGGCCCATCTCTTCCGACAATGGTCTTGTAACAGGTTCGGACCAAGAGGAATCGGGAAGTCCTCCCGATGGTTTTGAAAGTGAGGCTTTATTCTGCAGGAGCAAGCAATATGAATCATCTGCAACGCGCTTTCGTGAGCTCACTCTGGCCATGCGGCCTAAAGTCTTGCTGCTGTTGGGTGTACCTAAACAAACGGTCCACTTCATGGCCCACAAAAGTAAGTTGTAAACAACTTGCAAGAATAATCAGAATGACCCAAGAGACGGAAGAGGCACTTGTGGCGGCCAAAGTTTGTTAAACGAAAGGCATGGACCTGCCATGCGCTGCTTGATTTCTATAAGCCGCCTTTGGGTGACGACGACGGATCTCTAGCGATATTCCAAAAATATGCAAAACAAAAAGTCGACAAGGCCTCCCTGATGAGAAAATAAACAATCAAAACAAAAGCAAACTGCCTCCCTGCGCTTATACAAAGCAAACACCAAAAAAAAAAAAAAATACATGGGTAGTCATGCTTTCAAGTATACAGTGGATCCTCTCCAAAAGTATGCAGCCGTATCGTTCATGACCAGCTGCGATCAACGCAGGCATGGTCTAGAGCAGGCAAATAAACCGTCAAATAGTTGTTTAGTGTGCGTAGTAGTCATGAGTGGGGTATGGCGCGTCTGTGTCGGTTCGGGAGGCTCGTGTCTTCCGGATTCTTCCATCGCAGCCGTCGGACTGATGTCTGTAGCAGAGTGAGTTCGTTGTTTCACATTGGTGTTGAATGTAGATACGGTACCTTGACAATGTGTCCTGTCGACTGTAGCGCCGACCACACTTCTCGCAGCCAAATTTGCGTATTCCCCGATGGATCTGCGCATTCTATTAGTAGTAAACTTAGCTCTATCCGATGTGACTTACGCTATCTACGTGTCTCTTCAGGTCAGTCCTCCGCCTAAATTCCCGCCCGCAAGTCTCGCATGGATGTGGCCTTACGTAGCTAGGGTCGTGGCTTTTCATATGCTCTTTACAGTTAGAGCGTCGTGTGAAGCGGACACCACACGTAGGACACTCTAAGCCGCTCGCCGACGGTATCCTTGACTGTTCTCCCTTGGGCGATTCGCTAACATTCTCGATCCACTTTGAAATTGCCTCATCAGGGACCAAATCCGGCGCAACACTTTTGTTCGGATCCATCTCAGTTAGGGTGTTATCCGGGCGTTGAGGATGCAGATATGCGGTATTGATCTGAAGTCGAGGGATCTCTGGCATCCTAGAGACCATCGTATTGGATGCTTCGTCCAGGAAAGACGATTCCCAGACGTCCTCTATCGGGTCTTGAACGTTGGACCAGCCTTCTGACGCTGCCATGGTTTCGGAGGTAGGAGTGTTAGGCCAGAAGCGAGGTATTTCATCATGCATCGCGCCGAAATCAATGACCGGGCTGTAACTGGGTGATACTGAGATGCCTGCATGGCTACCGAATGCTTCGTAATGATTCCTAGGCGGAAACTGACCGGCGTCTGGAGGGGTTTCGAGGATATTCGGGGAATGCGTCATTGGGTCGGACCAGTTGCTCGTTGAAAGTGCATATTGCTCGGGACACGGGTAGAGTCTGATCTGGCTTGAAGGGGATCCTGTTCCACAATTGGAGATTCCTAACCCGGACAACGACTGAAAATCATATCTATCAAGGGGAATAGCCGTTGGGGATGGGTAGGCCGGGGAAGCTTTGAGTAACCTTTGGTCATCCCGCGCCGAGTGAGCCAAGGGAGAGGATGGGAACGAGGTAGGTGTACAATCCATGACGAAATTAAGATTTAATCATAAACAGAACAGAATTGGGGAAAGAAGAAAAAATTTTTTCTCGGGCACAGCTGCAACCAGGAAAGGGTGATTGGTGACGGTTTCTGGGTCGAAGGATCGCTTTTATGTTCGCAGAACTCCCGCGACGTCCTGTGGCTGAAACTGGGGAAGGGCTGGTGAGAAGGCAACAATATTGGTGACTAGTAGATGCTATTCAAACGAGAGTGAGGAAGTTATTTGTAGTGTATATAAGTAGAAAAAGACTCAACAGCGACGCTGCTGGAAGATGAGGGTAAGTGGCGAACCATGAACAGCAGCTGAAAAAAATATCTCTGGGGATGCCATATGATGATTGGAGTACAGCAACCGCTGCATGGGGCACAGGTAGAGAGAAGGAGAAGAGATGAGCAACAGGTTTGACGCCTCATCAGGCAAGGCAGAATTGACGGGACGTTGTTGCATGGATGGGAAAGAATTCAGAGCGAACCTAGCTGGAACAACCCGGTCCAAGTGGACTGCAGCCTGGGTCTGCAACATTATTCAGATAGGCGCGTCAATTAGATGCCATGCGCAAGAATTTAGCGCCGGAAGAGTGTGATCAGGCCAAGGTGTCAGTCGGCGCTGTACCCTGTCGCGAGGAGAGAGAGGGAGAGGGAGGGGGGTGTGGGTGTGGATGGTGCATGGTTTGATTCACACCGGACGACGCCGTCATTTGTCGCCTAGCGGACATGACCGGGACCCAGCAGATCCATCAGCCAGGAAATCATGACTTCTGAATGGTACAAACGTAGAGAGAAATGTAGGGAACCAGATAGTAGTGGTAATTGTAAATGTGTAGTGGGGGTGGTGTGGTAGGAAACCCCGTTAGGTTAGGGGATGCAGTGCCTCTTGGGACAACAAGCATGGCGCTGGGGAAAAGACGGGCAACAATAGCGGCTGAATTATTGGCAACATGGACGGGGGGAATGCCTGGCTTCCTGATCAGCAACAGTCGGCTGGAGCAGCGCGCTTTTTTTTCCCTTTTCTCCTGTTCTCCTGCTCTTAATGAAAGGGGAATAGTAGGACCCGACAGTCTGGTACCTAGCTTGGCGAAGCAGCATTGCAGTGCGTGTCGCCAAAGCAGGCCGGTTGGCAACACTGCCTCATTATCGGCGAAGTAGTATGCATAAGCCAAAAATAATACCCAGTCAGGTACTGCGGTACATCAGAGCCTCAATGAAGGGTACCTGAAAGTAAGAGAGAGTGTGGACGTGAGAAGAATGGATGTTGTAGAAAGTGGTGGTTGATATGGTTGCTGCGCGGGACGGGGTATACTAGTAGGACTAACAGTTAGCGAGGAGAGGAGGAGGAAGAAAAGAGAAGTAGGAGGTTCGGTGGTTGAGGGAACGGCGGACTGGCAGACCAGTGACAGCCAGGCTGTGGACGGAAGGAAGAGTGACCACCACTACTACTACTCTGTACCTACTACTTACTACCAACTAACTAACTGGGCAGGGCAGAAGAGGGGCTCCCGCCTCTAATCCTGGTCCTTACCAAAGAGTAGTATTGTACCAGACACACTCTCTGGCTTTCCCACGACCATGGCAGTGGCCCAGTTTCCCTGTTACTAGTTACCTGCCGCTCACTCATGGTATCATTCGGTAATCCCCTGAAATTACTATTTTTCATTTCACCTACTTTTTTTTTCTTCTTCTATTTCTTTTTCTTGCTCTCTGCTCCTCGGTTCCTGATTGATTACTCTGCTACCTTCCTTTGTTGTTATTTTTCCTGTTTCGAACAAATTCCCTGAGAGACCCATTTGTGGAACTAGTAGTAACATCTAAAACCCATCTCGGAGTCTATTCTATTTCTATCTGTAGTGAGAGAACCAAAACAAAAAAGAGAAAAAAAAAATTGAGAGAAAAAAAGATCGCTGAAGAAATACAACAGAATGACAAATAATAAACGACAATCGCCCAGTGCACTCCGTACAAAGAAGTTGTTCGTCGCTGGCGGGTCTCCAACTACTCCGTCCCTCCGACCCACGAAATGGTCACTGGCCGGTGCTCACGCTAGTGCTTTAGGCTCTGGCACCGGCCTGACGCCAGGTGCGTGTGTATACTGTATGCCATGATTACCATCCTTCCGCTGTGGTCCCCCCCCCCCTCCTTCCATTCCTTCTGCCCTGCACTGTAATATACCACTTTCTGACACCTCTCTCGACTCTCTGTAATCACCCTCATTGGCTTCGCTGATGAAAGGCCATCCGAGCAGCCACTCGATCCACTTGTGTGCGCAACCGTTCCACCTCGTCGATCATATCCGTGGTGTCACCGCGCCCAGCCTGGCCCGAACTTGGTCCGCGCGCTTCGGGATGCTGGCCCGGGTTAGACCGTTCCTTAGGCCGGCTGGATGCCCACGAACGCCCTTCCAGTGCGGAGGCATGGAGCGGGGCATGGTGCGTGGAGAAAGGGAACCCCATCTGGATGGAGGATGTTGGTCGACTGCTTGTGGTGGTCGTGGCAGTTGGTGGAAATTGGCTATTTCCCCGAGAGACGTAGCGGCGGCTAGATTCATAGGCCCAGATCAGTGCGACAAACGGGAGGTGGGTGGCCCGGAGCAGAACGATGCGCACCCGGCGGATGTGCTCTGCAGGTAAGAAGAGCCTCATGGGGCGGATACAGAGGAGGGGAATGAGGTTCTATCGTGGAGTCATGGCTGCTGTCAGCGACACCACCCAACCCGGTCATGCAGGGGCCAAAAATTTAAGTATCGTGGGGGTGGTTTACTGACCAAGGGAGGCATGAAATACGTCAATCTCCGAGAATTACTGCTCTCTAGCACGTAGATAGACAGTCTATTGCCACACACACACACATCAGCGGGAGGAGCCGTAGGGCCGAAGCAAAGTAGTATGACACATACTGAAAGAGATACTCTTCTCGGGCATGCGCCATGACCTGGATGAAGGGCACAGTTGGGTAGACAGATTAGCATGGCTCATGCACAATAACATAACTAACAACAACATGTCGGAGGGGGAGGCCGGGCAAGCCCCGCACCTAGTAGTAGTCGAAGTGGTAGTATGATGATGTGGATAGTTGGAGCGACTTACCCCTTCCAGACTCATGCTCATGAGACTGACCAACGACGAGATCAACAGAAGATTGGTCATCGAAACGAAAATCAACCTGTCGACCATACCAATCAGCCACTTTCCTGTAAGCACCGAAATCATTATGCCGGAATGATCGTCCGAATGCCGCCATTCGTGAGAACACGCGAGGCTTCATTTTACCCTGCGCCGCGGCTGATTTGACGCCATGTGTTTCCGGGCGGCACCGGGTCTCCAGCCTCTAGCAACGGAACTGGGTCGCATCGCCTCAATTTCCCACAGCAGCATCAGGAGGAGAAAGGAAATGCATGGCTGGTCATCGCGGTCGCAGGGCAGCTGGAAACACATCCAACGTGACCAAAAGTGTATGCGACCGACACATCTCATGGAGCCTGTGGCGCAGTAGAGGACTGGGGATTGGGAGAAGCACTCACATCAGACCGTAGCCAAAGATCGGGGAAATCTAAGAATTAGCGTGTCAGTAAAACTTTCCACGAGAGCCAACCAATTCTGCAAGACCCCTGGAAATCCGGGTTTGGGCTGCATGGCGGCCGCGCTGCTGCATTAGACTCACATCGTGAGCGATGTCCTTTTCCAATCATTTCAGCCACCGTCAGTTTGAAGAACACATGTTACCCGATTAGGAACAACGCACGAAGCCCAGCACATTCGATCTGCCTCGCTCTGTCAGTCAACTGGCGCTCGACGAGGGGGGCATTTTCACCGCCATACCCAAAGAACACTTTCACCAAAATCCATGACATTTGCCGCAGAGAGAGGCGGTCACGGGCGAGCATCGTGAAGGTGGTCAGGAACCCTGCAGATGCACATTTACCGCGCGTTGGCTTTCTTCGGCCTTGTCCTATGCGTCATCGGGGTCACCTACCAAGGTATAGCACTACGACTATCGGAATAAATCGAAAAAACGCTTTTGTCTAGAACCCTCTTATCAGCGTCTTTCGCCACCTGCCACCGTCTGGGCGAGCGGAGAAACTATACCATCTCCTTGAGAACAGGGATCTGTGCGTCGAAACTGTCAACGTGGCTTCCAGAACAGGGTTCTTCCGGGTCTACGCCTGCATGGATTGCCTTACCAGACTTCCAAAATAGGAGTTCAAACTCACAAGGGAGCAGATCCTGTTCAGCTCCTGTGTCAGAACCTGAAACCGGTATCAAGATCATCGGAGTAGGGGGCTTAGTCTTACCTTGGTACCAGGAACAAAGCCTCCAACGATAGAATATCAAACGACAGATCTGTGATGTAATCACTTTGTTTGGCTAATCCAATAATCCCTGGATAGTCGTGTAAGTCAAGGATCGAACCACACTCCGGCCCGCTAAGTGAGCCCAGCTGCGGAAACAGGCCCAGCTGAAAGAGCTGAATGCGGACAAGGCAGATCTATAGCATGGTGCAAGTGACTCACTGGCAATGACAAAGGCAAGGCCTGTGCCAATTATGCCCATATTCCAAGCGCTCCAGAAGTCCATCTGGTAGAAGAGCATTCCGGCATCAGCCATCCCGCTGACTTCATCGTAGGCAAAGGCAGCGATCCAGATGTACATCATAGTCTCAAAGATACCTATGCCGGTAGGCTTCCTCTCGACTAATACCGCATAATATAGAAACAGAAACGAGACAAAGAAGGCCGCTTCAAAGGCCTTTCGATACACTGGCACTCTCAATCGGGAGTATGGATCGGCGGTTCTGCCAGACATGGATATCAGCATCTGGCAACTAGGGCACGTAGCGCAGAGGCGGGTTACCTTTTGTTGAAAAATTGGGGTTTCTTCTTTGAATGCACGCTCAAGGAGTCCCAGAAAACAATCTCGCCCTTCCAGATATTGTCTATCACTTTCTGAACCACTTTCTGGCTCAGAAATCTTTTGGCGTGGGCGATTGTGGCTATCTCGAGTGCGTTAAGCCCAAAGAACCTTGACAGCTTCTCAAGCTCATATGCGTCACTTGCAGACATGTTGGATCCCGGCTCATTAATGTCAAGCGAACTTCCTGCACGTCTCTTGCCACCAAAGAACCGATAAAGCGATGATGACGAGCTTAATAATAAGGGTGTCCTTTCGTCTTCTTGCGGAAAGGCCTCGCTGCCCATCGTCGCGAACCCAGATGTGCCTCTTTCTGCCTGTGAGATATCCATGCCGCCCTGCATTGGGGATTTGAGTTCCTCAAGAAGGAACTCGATGGTCTCGCGCTGATTGACATGACAGAGGAACTGCCACGCAACGTATTCACAGGCATACCCCCGGCTTTCATTCAAGCCCCAATCAGTTTCAGCATCATTGGTAAACTGCCATTTTAAGATCCTAAGGTATGTTTTAGCACCACTCAGCTGTCGGGAGAGTCTACTTACATCAAAGCGGCGATTATACATGGATTGTGCGAGTTTTCAGCCAAGGAGTACAGAAGCAACCGGAGACTTTGCGCATGAGGAGAGAACCTTAGCTCTTCAAAGGTGCATGCGACATCACTTATAGCGATGACCAAATAGCTAAGTGGTAAATGTTAACTAAGCGAATCTTTCAAAGGGTATTCTTGGGCCAGCTGTACTTGTGTAGTTTTCGAACCACATCAACGAGCGGCTCATTGTCATCAATAATAGGAACCTCAAATAGGGGCTGTTCAGCGGGTGCAATCGATGAAGTAGAGGATTCCAGCCTCAGGGAAGCCATGTGGTGGGAGAATTGTTTGACCTGCATAGGAGATTAGCGGGTCACGCCTACATGACGCGAGTGTGGAGAGGCCACAAAAATAGTACCTGAACACGTCCCAGACAAGATTTTGATGTCTGCAAGAAATCTGTTCTGAAGGAGTGCAGAGTCCGATGATATGTCGGTGAGCCACGTCCACAGTTGATGCTAACTTTAGTACTAGGAGCTAGTGACGGGTACTAAATAACTATCCGAGCAGGTGCTCAAGGAAAGGTTGAGGTTATTCGGAATCCTGCCAGCAGAGACGTCGAAAGAGGGTGGTCAAGAACAGGTGAATCGTCACTCAACCGTAAGATGCAGCTGGTAGAATCAAGTGCGATGCTAAATACGAGTGCGTGAAAGACACCAGCTAGCTGTACAGCTCGCTATCAGCACAAATAATGGGGCCAATGTTCTTTATGAGGGTCCTCAGCACTGTGATTGGCTGCAGTGCTTGGTGCCAACCGGCAGGCAAAACAAGCTTCGGCACTCTAGCACCGCATCATTGTATGGCGGTCACCGAATCAGATGGGGGAATTGCCAGCACATCAGTGCCTGAACTCGCAATGCCAGAGTTTGAAACGTCCAGGAGTTCGCGGTAATTGGATGAATAGGGAGGAGATTCCCGAGTTTGCGGTGGTGGATCGCCACCTGTCAAATCATCAAATGATCTGTCCGGATAGATAGTACACCAGAAGTTCTTAGATAATCAAATAGCTAATCATGCTCGATTTGCTGCTTTATAATTCGGTGCACAATGGTTGATATAGTTATATTCTCCGGGATGCACTTCAACTTTGTTTCTACTTCCATCTTTCCAGTGGCAGCAGCAGTAAATTACCTTCAGGTCCCCCTTGAGGCTCCTTCAGGCTCCCAAATGTTGCAGACTCACCGCCTTCCCCGGCATCATGTGACTGATATGCACTATCGGACCCCCTCCAGACGCGTTGGACTGACTTCATCCTGCGACATCCTCCGATCATTTATTTGAGCCTTGTGCCGGGATGATCCAACGCCGTAGATTGGTCGATCGGCTTACCTCTTTGGTATTTAATGGCAGATGCCACATATAACCTACAAACCCAAACCCTCATGAGATGAAGGCACTTCAACACCATGGGCCAAGGCTATTCCCTCACAACCCTGTCCGCAGGTTCGGCTGGGATCGATGTCCCCGAGCTTGCGGATCTGGTGTATGAAAAGTCGATGGGTGGTGGTCGATTTATGAAAAGTATTCGAGCAAGGCAGCATAATGGACTAGTCTTTGTAAAGGTAATCATGAAGCCTTACCCCAGCATGAAGCTGGAACCATATATCAAAGCTATTCTACGTAAGTGCCATGAGCATCCAGTCGGATCTTCAGTATAATATCTGACAAACAATTTAGGGGAGCGCAAACTACTGTCTGAGGTTCCGAATGCGTTGAGCTATCAGAGGATATTGGAAACCAGCACTGGCGGTTACCTCGTCCGCCAATACATACACAGCTCTCTCTATGACCGGATGAGGTATGTAACCCAGATAGAGTTGCTTTGGACTCTTTCTAATACTATGTAGTACCCGTCCATTTCCAGAAGATATCGAAAAGAAATGGATCGCTTTTCAGTTGCTCTGCGCATTGAGGGATTGCCATTCGCTGGATGTCTTTCATGGCGATATCAAGACAGAGAATGTTTTAGTCACCTCATGGAACTGGCTCTATCTGTCCGACTTTTCCTCGTCTTTCAAGCCGACATTTCTTCCAGAAGACAATCCGGCTGATTTCTCTTTTTACTTCGACACGTCAGGACGCCGAACCTGCTATCTGGCGCCCGAAAGGTTTCTCGTGGCTGGCGAAGAACCAGGTAGTAGGGAAGTCAACTGGGCTATGGACATTTTTAGTGCGGGCTGCGTCATCGCGGAGCTTTTTCTGGAGTCACCTATATTTACTCTGAGCCAAATTTACAAGTATCGCAAGGGAGAATACAGTCCGGAACATGGTCAACTCTCCAAGATTGAGGACCCTGAGATCCGCGCGTTGATCCTCCATATGATTCAGCTCGAGCCAGAGTCTAGGTACTCGGCTGAAGAGTATCTGAACTTTTGGAAGAACAAGGCCTTCCCTGACTATTTCTACAGCTTCTTACACCAGTACATGTCTCTGATGACTGATCCATCGTCAGGCAGAGCGCATGTTGAGACCGACTCAGCAAATAGAGGGGAGACTGATGAGAGAATTGAGCGGGTATTCCATGACTTCGATAAGATATCGTACTTTCTGGGGGCTTCGCCGAAGGCTTCGACAGATGGTTCTAGTCGCACTACCTCCAGGCTGACCGGCAATACCTTCCCCGTTCAACTGGACCTACCACAATATGGACAACCAACTCCCAAGTCTCCAGCTCAGTCGGATGACGGTGTGCTGATCTTTCTGACGCTTGTGGTATCTAATCTGCGCAATACTTCGAAATCGTCCGCACGCGTCAAAGCTTGTGACATTCTCCTTGCCTTTGCCGAGCGATTGTCCGACGAGGCAAAGTTAGATCGCGTTCTTCCGTACATCATGATTCTTCTCAATGACCGCGCAGACTCCGTCAAGGTCGCTGCGATACGTGCTCTTGCACAGTTATTGGAAATGGTTCACGTGGTCTCGCCGGTCAACGCATACTTGTTCTCCGAGTACATCTTCCCGAGACTACAACCGTTCGTTCCTAGCGGCAGTTCGAACCCTAGTCCTTTGGTTCGGGCTGCATATGCTTCATGCGTTGCATCTCTGGCACGATCATCCTTAAGATTCCTAGATATGATCCAGGCACTACGATCCGACACCCGCTTGCCCGCTTTGATCCCAGCTGGATCTGAACCTAGGTGGACAGAAGATGCTACATACCACAACCTATATGACGTTGCGAGAGTCGACCTTCTCGAGTACTTCGAGGCTCACACTAAAGCTTTGTTGACCGACAGCGACGCTTCGGTCCGCCGCGCCTTTCTAGGTTCTGTATCCGACCTCTGTGTGTTCTTTGGAAATCTCAAAACCAGCGAGGTTGTTTTGAGTCATCTAAACACGTATCTGAATGACAGGGACTGGATCCTGAAGTGTGCTTTTTTTGAGGCGGTCATTGGCGTTGCAATCTACGTCGGAAGTACAAGCTTGGAGCAGTACATTTTGCCTTTGATGGTCCAATCAATGACGGACCCAGAAGAGTTTGTTGTTGAAAGGGTCCTTCGGTCGCTAGCAGTGATGGCAGATATGGGTCTTTTCCAGCGGTCTACCACGTGGGATCTTCTGCATATCACTGTCCGATTTCTCGTGCATCCGAACGCTTGGATCCGCGAAGCAGCAGTCCATCTTGTAGTCAATTCAACCAAGTTTCTCTCCGTCGCCGATAAGTTTTGCATCCTCGCCCCTCTCGTGCAGCCTTTCGTGATAGCAGAGATAATGAACTTTTCCGAGGGAGAAATGCTTGACGCACTCAAGAAGCCACTATCAAGGGGCGTATACGATCTAGCATTTGTTTGGGTATCGAAGACAGAGAAGGGTATCTTCTGGAAAGCAGCAAGCCGTGATGGGATATTCACCTTGAATGGAACTGACAGTTCGCTCACAAAGTTGGGGCACAAAGCCTCCACTCATCCCAGCCTGCAGCCCAAGAACGAGGAGGATGAGCAGTGGATCGCCCGTCTGAGAAATATGGGAATGAACCATGATGATGAGTCTAAACTTCTGGCCCTTCGGGAGTACATATGGAGAGTATCGATGCGTCAGCCAAGAGATTCGGAGAATGGAATCTCTGATTTGAACAATGTCATTGCTCTAATGCAGCACGGGGTGACTCCTCAAACTGTGTTCTTTGACAAGACTCAGAACATCAAGCCACGGAGAAGTTCTATCGGGAAGTCTGAAAACGATAGATCTGACGAGCGGAAATTGCATACTATTACGGATGCTCTACTTGACGCTTCAACAACCATTGATAACAGACCCGAATCACGCCGGAGACATATGCGTTCGCGGAGTCAAAGGGACCCGGGAGCTGCCCTAACAATTCCACGACCGAGTGCCTTGGATAACATCAGGGCAGAGAATTCGCCGATATCCTCACCGATAGCATCATCACCTGGTGCAGCGCCCGGCTCACGGCCTTTGTCACCTCCTAGCTCAGATGCTGGACGTAGGGGCTCAGGAGGAAGGGACAGTCCCGGACATGACAGTTCATCGACACCTACGGATGCGGAAAATCCTGCAATTAGGAAATTGGCCTCCGGCGTGCAGCGTAAGTCCAGTGCTATGAGCTTACTTAACCGCAAGGATTCAGCCAAGGCATACGCAGAGACTGGAACCAGCTCGGCCAACGCCTTTGGAAAGGTTGATTTGCCATCTCAGAGAGCAGAGGTGTCTTCTTCTCCCTCGCCCGTACCGCATGATAGGAAATCACCTGAGCAGGGGCCCCCCAGATTCCACGCCAATCACTCATATGCAGGCGACGATCCTGTCGTCCTCAAGCTTTTAGATTCCGTGTTTGCGGAAAACTACCCTACCGACTTCTTTGATCTAGGGCCCTATGTCAAGGAGATAGACGTAAGGCGTCCGATTGTGAAGGCTAATGGACAAGAGCCTGACAAAGTGTGGAAACCGAATGGAGGTCTTGTAGCCGTTTTTGGGGAACACAGTGGCCCTGTGAACCGCGTGGTTGTGGCACCAGACCATGCTTTCTTCGTTACTGCTGCGGACGACGGCACCGCTAAGATCTGGGATACGACTCGTCTTGAGAAGAATCTTACCCCGAGATCCCGCCAAACATACCGCCATTCCACCGAAGCGAAATTGAAGGCGTTGACTTTCGTTGAGAACACTCACACGTTCGTCACCGGCGCAAATGACGGCAGTATCCATGCAGTGAAGGTTGATTATCATAATGCCAACGGCACCGTTCGCTATGGGAAACTCCAACTTGTGCGCGAATACCAGCTACCAACAGCTGAAGATGGAACCGTCGAGTATCCCATTTGGATGGAGCATTTCCGTCTGGAGGGCCAGTCCACGCTTCTCATTGCCACCAACACCTGCCGTGTTCTGGCATTGGACATGAAAACCATGCTTCCGGCGTACTCATTACAGAATCCAGTTCATCACGGCACACCAACCACTCTCTGCTGCGACCGAAAGCGCAGCTGGCTCCTCATCGGTACCTCACATGGCATCCTCGACCTGTGGGATCTTCGCTTCCGCGTCCGTCTCAAAGCCTGGGGTCTTTCAGGCTCCGGCGCCATCCACAGGATCCAACTCCATCCGACCAAGGGCCGTGGACGATGGGTCTGCGTCTCCAGCAGCGGCAGCCACGGCAATGAAATCACCGTCTGGGACATCGAAAGAGTCCGCTGTCGGGAAGTATACCGAGTTGACACACCCAGCGTCAACAACCCAAACCAGCCCAACGCAGGCAATACCGACCCTCACAAAATCACCAGACTAGGACACCCAAGCAGCACACGAGACTACGAACCCTGGCACGTCGAAGGCAGCCGACCAGAAGGAATGCTCAGCCGATTCGCAATGGAAGGACTAGCATCAGGCCCAATAGATCACCATCCATCCGGCCCATCTCCTTCCGCAGGAATCGGTGCCTTCGCACTTGGCTTCGACTCCCCCGACGACGGTCGCGACAACACCACTCGCTGCGGCTTCATCATCTCCGGCGGCAGCGACCGCAAGATCCGCTTCTGGGACCTCACCCGACCGGAGCATTCCACTATCATCAGCGGGCTAGAAGTTGTCACGGATGGCGCCGTGACCAGTAAACCACGCTACGACGTATCTCAGCCCATCCCGTCCCTTGTCATCACCTCAGAACACATTCCGACCCCTTCTTCTTCTACAACTCCCGACCCAGTCCAGAACGGCAGTAAGAAGAGCTCCGCCAACGCCACTGCCAACACCAAAAAGAGCGGAAGCGGTCGTCTACCCCGAAGCACGGTGATTAGCTTGCAGCAGCAGCAGTTATTGAAGAGTCATCTAGACTTTATTCAGGATATCGCCCTGCTGAGAAGCCCGTATGGAATGATCGTGAGTGTTGATCGCGCGGGAATGGTTTACGTTTTCCAATAATTTGTCTATCTCTCTCTCTCTCTCTGTCCACATGTATAACTACTGATAGTCTTGTTATGAGAAAGCATACTTATGATAACATCTACTTCGGACCCGTCTTCGCTTTGACAAAAAAAAATTAACCGTAGGGCAGTAATTCCAGTAGAGGTCTGCCTATATCCGATGATTACTTAGTACTGTAGTAGCGCAACTTGGCGGATTTCCACTACGTACTTGGTAGATAAGGGGTTGTGTGCTAACTACTCCGTAGATAGTTATCATATGATCTATATGATATTATGTCTTAGACTAGTAGTTGATTTGCCAGGATTGATGATGCATAGCGGTCTAACGGTCGATAATCCTACTACTACGTACGCAGTACGTACCTTAACCCTGGTCAACGGCTGGAATGCAGATAGATGAGTGTCTGGTTGGTCGGTTGGCGACGTATCTTCTAACTACTCCTAATAATAATCTGACATATCGGATTAATGCCATGGTCTTATAGTATTTATCCCTTAGGTCTCCACTTTATTTAAGTTCTCTTTCCCAGTCTACGGAGTAGTAAAAGGATTTGCGCCATCTTATGTGCTGGTGGCATCAGCGATAATATATACTACCATCTGGCGGACTAGTAGCTACATTCGATGTATGTGCTTATTATTTACCCTAGAGATAACTACTAGGCCAATGTATAAGTTACATGAATTAAGCACGATGGTCAATGCTACGTAGTACCTACAATACTGCGTAGTGTATAGAGAGATGGAGCAATGTTGAGAGAAAATGCCGGAAAGATTGTAGAAGCAATCAGGTGGGACAGCGAACTTTGGGGGGTGGAAATGATGAAACACTAGGCGACGGATACAGAAAGCGATCGGCAAAGAAAATTATAGACTGGAAAGCGACCAATGCGGTTGGCGTTAATTTCTTTTCATTGTCAACTTTTGCCCTGCGAGTAACAAAGAGAGAGACATTTTGGTTGTTTTTAATATCGGGTTAATTTGATTGATACAGTTGGGATTGAGGATTGCTTGGCTGTTGTTGTTCTGCTTTTCTTGATTGTCTTGGTTGGATTAGTGGTAGGAATTGTGCCAGGCAACTATGTCAGGAGTTGGGATGATTCATCAAAGAAGCCACTGGATATGTGTAAATTCTCGGCATCGCATTCTGGCGAACGGAGGTGATTACTCGTCCTAGTTATTGCTAGGGCGTAGTGTTTCCGTACATCCGAAACCAACTTATAAACACTCTGTTGTGTTCATACGTGTCGGAGAGTTTGTAAGGTCCAAAGATGAGTAGCGACGGTAAATTACGGCAGGCCCTATTATTGAGCATTGGATAGATTAAGCGAGGGCCAATTTCGGATACAGACAGGTGACCGGTCGATAGGTCAACCTGCAGTATTCATATTTGAGGCATGCACTGAAGAGCAAACAATCCCATCTTGAACTTCTTGTGATTGATAATGGTGCGTGCAGTGGGTTCAAAGGGTTCGAGCGGATGAAAAGTCTGGTACCGCCAGATCTGGACCATGAGATGAGAATCCCGCGTCCCGTTGGTGAACCATGGATGGCGAAATTAATACGATTCATGCCGCGACGGTATCCAGTTCAGTCTCCATCTGGCTTCTGCAGGGCCCGATCGCGGTTTGCTTTTGTTACAGGTAGACATTCTTCGGCCAAGTTCCATCCCCGAAGACTTGGCGGTGTGTGGTCTTGTTTCTTATTTTTCCTGCCTTCTGTTGCCTTGCTCCTCATAATTGACTTGTGGGATGGGATATACTCCGTAATATTGGATCGACACCCTCGGGCTTAGGTGACGGATGATATCTGTAAACGCAACATTATGTTCGTCGGACTGGTAATATCCCGATCTCTCAATCACGAACGCGCCTCAGACTGGAGATCTAGATCGACGTTTCCTATGCATGCACTGAATCTGATATTCCGGCAGCCGGTGGGCGAATGACTGTCAGGGCAAATGGCGGACTGACTCGATCGGTGGATCGGACCCAGCGGCGGGCAGTGAGACAGACGCGTCGCTTACCGACCGAATGGACCTGATGGGGGCGTCTAGCAATGTTCTGGAGAATGACACCGGAATTACAATCTGCAGCAGTGAGGGTCGAGTGTCAATGCGCTCCAGTCTCAACAAACACTTCAATAGGGGTTGGAGGGAACAGCCGGAAATTCCGGGCGACACCCATGACTTATGCACACAAACTCAAACTCAAAGTCTTCGTTATGAGACTTACTGCGAGGTATTGCGAGGTATCGCTTTTACTCTATATGGTCGTGGTAGATGGTTGCTTGTATTACCTTTCCTCTTTCTGCTTTGCGCGCATCTTGAGCCGCTCTAGGAGATTTTTTTCGGCTGGGGACGTCGTCGGCGATGCGAGTGTCTCTGCGAGTGCGACATGAACAACCCCTAACTGCCGTCCTACACGAGCCAGACCGCACTTATGGTGGCCTCTGCCGTACACCCATCGTTGATAGGCTTAGTTCCTGGAGCCTAAGCGTCCGAGAGCGAACCACTGCGCATCCTGAAATGATGATCTCCCTCGCGCAGGCAGGGATGGCTGATCTGGTTCTGACACGAACAGTCGGAGTACAGAGCAAATAGGGCCTAGTCAACTAGATGAGGTTCTACCGTTGTACTACTCCGTATCTCAGAAATCAAATTGTCGATAGAGTTTGGCGCCCAGGAAGAGCGACAACCTCCCATTCATCAATCGATGAGGATGGGAAGACCGGCGGAGAAAGCGTAATCTCCCATTCCGGGACGTTTGTCTTAGACCCCTGATGACCGTGCTCGCCAGTTAGTCCACCGGCGTTGCACCGTTTCTGCTATTGCTAAATTTATCGTGTCGGAGATACTATCATTACGCTCGTAAGGGGCTGCAGTACAGCGAGAACAGCATTGTTAAAGGCTTTCCAACCTGGCTGCATAGCCGGGGGGTTTTCTTTCCTTGACCCACGTTTGGGTGTACTGCAGTTGGACACGACATGGCAGACTGAAACCGCGGAGGATGGAAGCGTGGTCACACCGTGGTCTGGTGTAGTGTTTAGAGCAAAGAATCTGCGACCAGAGACCGGGGTGTGTGTGTGTGTCTGGCTAATGATCAACCTCAAGAATAAGACTGTGAATGCCCTGGTCAGACACGGCACTAAGAGGTTAAACTTTCGACTGAACCTTCCCGTGGTGTGGATTTGTCATTTCGCATCGTGCCAAATGCGACTGGTTTTGCTTCGTACCTTGCCTTTCTATCCTCTTCAGGGCATGATCTCTCTTTTTCTTTTCTTTTTCTCATCCACCCATTGCTCTGTTTCCTCAGTTCTCAACAGTTTTGGCAGGGTGCCTGGAAGATCCATTCTCGCGTGGGAGAGAGACTTTCGGGCCGTCCGTCTCATGCTAGCAATGAATAGATAGTAGTCTAGTACGGAGTAATAGTAGAGAGTGTTATCGTGGGATTCTTGAGCCGGGATACCGTTCTGACTAGATATTAGCCCGTCGCATGGTCAGACTGTTAGCTTGATAAGGAAGAGGGGATGAAGGGAGCATCTCCTCTTCCTTGGTAGTATGGCAATTATTGCGTTCTCACCTACCGCCATTCAACCAGCAAGTTCAAGCTTCTTTTTCTCCCCGCACGGGCGCAAGGACTGTGACAGGGATGCAGCAGAAGCAGGCCAGACTGGGAAGCGTACAAAGTAGTAGTAGTAGTAATAGTAAATTACGAGGTACGTACTTTCCAGGGAAGGATAATTATTGGTAAGTGGTAACCCGTCCGGGTGGGAGTGGCCGCACGAGGCCAACCCGTGATGGAGCGACTAGAGCCAAAGTTGTCCCTGACTAGCAGAATAGTCAGCCGGTTCTTTTCCCCCCACCCACCACCTCCTCCAACCGGCGCAGGAACAGTTTAGAGAAAAAAAATAATTAGAATTATTATACGGTACAAATAGTCTACCACTTCTGGAGTTGTCAATTTTCTATGTAGGACGTAAACCATCATTGCAGTGGCAGATGGTATGCATTAGTGAGTGTTTTATAAAAATAACTATTATTAATTTTTTATATAAGTTCTGCTGTGACTTCTCTTCGAGTACCTACCGTAGAGACAACTACAAAAATAGAGAGACGACGGAGGTCGCCCCCAAGTATCTCCTGGGTGGTTCACGCAGCCAAAGAGTACTCGAACAGTACCTAGTCGGCCCAGCTCTCCACCTTTACCTCCACCGGGCCCTCTCTGCCCCCTTTAGTGGTCAACGAACCTCTACTAACCGCTTCCTCTTTCCACCTTAACTCTTCATGGTCAAGATTGTCTCCCTGCTTTGCCTTTTGCCCTTTTCCTCCCCTACTCTCTCTCGCTCTCTCTCTCTCTCCGTCCGGTTCCAATTAACCTGGCTTAACCTAACTTGACCTATTCTTTCTCCCCTTCTCCTCCTCTTCCCTCTCCCTCCTCTTCCCTCACGCCTTTTCTCTCTTCCTTCCTCCCTCTTTCCCCTCCTTTGTCCTCTCCTCCCTTTTCCGTTCCTTATCCAACTCCTCCCCCTCCGAGGATCAGGACCGTCCGGTATCAACACCACCGCCACTCAAGGGAGTTGTTTTCCTCGCTTCCACATTTCATTAGATTATTCCAATCTAGATGTGCCGTAGAGCGTGAGAAATGCCCATCAATTGAGTTCGCGGGAGTAGTTGTGATCGATCCGTCCGATCTCATCTCCGCTGTGTTTCCCTCTTTTTAGTTGCAACAATATCCTCCCCCTATTCCTAATCGCCGTCCTTCCTTTCAACCCTCACGTCTTTTTCGACCTCTAGCAGTGCTACTGTTCTCTCGACCTGCCATTCAGTCTTCTAGCAAGCAGAAAGGAAACGGCAAAAAGTCAACAACCAGTCGTGATTTCACTACTATTCGAACGCAACCATCGGAACCAAGGTTCGGAGACCGCCTGCATCCCAAACGGGAAAAAGTAATCCATTACGCAACCCACGTCTGTACATAATATAATATTCCCCGTCAATCCCTTGAAAACCCCGACAAAAAAACCATCACTATGGGTCATTCTCTGAGGGACCACGCCTCTTTCGTCCGTCCGTCCACTCGCGACCGGCCGTCGACCCGCGACCAAGGGGAGAACTCGCTCGTCGTCCCTAGTCGCACCTCCTCGCTTCACTCCCGCATTACGCAACCCATCCCTTCGCAAGCCAATACGAAAGCTTCTCAGCGAACCCCCAAGACTCTCACTCATGCGTACATGGTTTGCGGTGTTGGCCGGGAACCGTCCCAATGGGTCCGGGCTCCCGCGCCCGCACAGGGAAAGATTGGACACATGAAAGGAGCCGTGGGCCAGTTTTGGTTGCCCGAGATCCTGGGAAGCAGTCCCCGTCTGGAACAAGATAATGAAATCGCCAAGTCCTTGCATTCGGCCATGAGGGTATGTTTCTTTTGAATCCGCCGCCATCTGGCAGAAGGATGGCTGACACTGACTGGCCGTATTAGGCATGCTTCCCTCATGATGTAGAGATCTGCACCGGCAAGAACCAGCCTCACTGCGTCCATCATGCCTTCGTTCTGCAGCAAGATTCTTCTCACACCCTATACGGTATCGCCCTGCGAGTATGGTCCCGCGCAGACGACAAGCGTGCGGAAACGATTCGCGAATTGCGCAAGAAGACAGAACCCGATTTCTACGATAACCCGGAAGAGACTTACTGGATCCCATACTGTCTGAGTTTCCTTTCCCGCTACCCACTCTACGACCTTCTGGGCGACTATCTCCGTGGCATGTGGATTCATTGGAACAAGGCCACCAACTTGTTCCATGCGGAGGAGGTTTCGCGAATTCTGAGCTTTCCTGCGCCCCGCCTCAACGACCTGGTTCGCATCGATATGAAGGATTATGCTCTCTGCTATCAGTTCCCATCGTCCCCGACGGGCTTCCAGAACTTCTCCATGTGGCCTCTCTTCACCTGCCTGTCGATCCCTAATGTCGTGGGTGTTGTTGAAGCTGCCGTATCGCCGACACGTCGTATCATCTTCGTCAGCCACTACCCAGCCATGCTCACCATGGCTGCGGAAACCATCCGTTACTGTGTGCGCATTTACGAATGGAGTGGATTGTATGTTCCCGTTGTCCACGCTCGTCACATCAAGGACTTGGTTCAGGAGCCCGGCCCGTACATTCTCGGTGTCACGGCTGAATGCCGAACCCTCTTCAACGCTCCCTCTGATGCTCTGGTCGTGGATCTGGACCGCAACTTTGTCCTCACATCGAGTCCACCCGATGTTCTGACTCCTGGTCAGCGCACCAAGTTCATCAACCGGTTGACCCAGGCCTTGAATGGTGATGTTTCACCCTCGGGTGTTCCCAACCACCTCCGTTCTGCCTATGCTGGTGGCAAACTTATTCCCGCTGGACAGATCATCGTGATGCGGGGTGAGGTCGAGAGCGTCCAGGATCCTTCTTGGTGGAACCAGGATGCTGTGATGAACGTTATGGATCATGTGTGCGAGAAGTTGGTGAGTGATTCTTTTGGTGCAAATATCTGTGTGGGTCTTTACGTTAACAATATGTGTACTAGGGACGCAATACTGGCATGAAGGCCATCTTTGGTGGCTCTGTCAAGAAGCCTCTCATGACCAAGGTTTCCATGCGCCACCTGAACGAAATTGTGCGTGAAAGGAACCAGTACTCTCGCGATGCGATGGAAGCTTGGCAAGATTTCATCAACCTTAAGGGTCGCATGGACACCGAGCTGAGCAAGGTCACCAAGCGCAACAACTTCTTGGTTGAGGAGCTGGAGACCTGGAAGCAGCAGGTTTGTTTCCCCCCTCCCTGGATGACTCGTGTATGATTCGGAGACTAACCCCATGCAGTTCCTCAAGTTCCAGGCTTTCGCCGAGACCCTCACCAAGGAAACATCTGAGCTCAAGGTTAAGATTGAGAACCACAAGCGTGAGAACCGTCGTCTTACCGGTCTCATTGACCAGCAGAAGGATGATGTGGCTCGTCTCTCTCTCCGTTTGTCCGGCACAGAGAAGCAGCGCGATGATGCTCTGGAAGCGTTGGTCCTCCAGCAAGAAATTGCGGAAGAGCTCGAGCGCGAGAGGAAGCGCAACCAAAAGGAGCTTGCTTCTTTGCAGCACTCCAATGCTTCCCTCACGCGGCAACGCGATGAGGCTCAGCGCGTGGTGCTGGGTCTCCGCAGCCTTATCAATGGCCAGACACATCACATGGAGCACATCGTTCGTTCGATTGGTAGCTCTACCGACCTGACCGAGCTGCCCGAAGCCGAGGCTGCCGTCGAGACCAAGGAGGCCGGACAGGATGTTGAGACCCCGAGAGAATCTGCTGTGTCGTCGCGACGCTCTAGTGCCAATATCTCCGCGAAGAGCGTTGCCAACAATGTGAGCCCGGACTTGGAGCAACATCTCCTCAGCATGGGTAAAAGTCACAACCGTCTTGCACGTCTCAGCATAACTGATGTC